CTATTCGATTCTTATGTCAATTAACAAGCGCAAAAGACATAAAATAGATTACCAATCCTATATTCCAAATTAAGCAAACGGATTGAGTTTTCGTGAATTAAGCAAACACGAATTATAAACGCGAATTAACGACAAAGCGACGTAACGACGAATAAAAGCTAAGGATGCAATCATACGAATTTAATCAAAACAATTCTATAAAATAACAGATTAAGCAAAAGCAATTCATAGAATAGTGTTGAAAGAGAAACGAATTAGATTGATAAAGTAAAAACCTCAAAGCGTTGGAACGCGATTACAGCAGAATGACTCTAAGGAATTAGCTCTCCATGGTTCTCTCAAAGCTCCGAATGTATTTTTCGTGAAAATGTAATTAGGTGAACAGTAACACAAGTATTTTTCCTTTAAAAAGAAAGCAAATTCGCGTCATAACCCAACTGGGTCGAAAACATAACCCAGGCCCGTGATGATCTGCAAAACCAAACCCCATGACTTTATGCTCTGCCAGTCTTCCCCTCTTCTAGCTATTCGCATGCGTCGATCAATCATCTTCGGCAAAATTACCTTATAAAGTATGCACCAAGGATCCATTAGATTAAACTAAGTGCATGATAGACCGATTCTTATATCCTTTGAATGTGACCACTGGTTAGATTATGATTATGTAAATGGATCCCCATTAAGTCGGGCCTGTGGACAATGTTTTAATGGATCACCCCTGATGCCTGATGGGCAAAAGAAAAACATTAGCCCAATACGGTACCTCATAGGGCAGGCAATCATTGTACTTAGGGTCACTCTCCCATCTGTTATCTTCATTGTATCGATTCAGTCTGTTCGATCAGGAGAGCGAGTGCGAGAGAGATTGAAATAGCTATGCCCAACCTATCCATACGTGCTTGTTGAATCAATTGTATTCCGATAGCGCGGCAACTCGTGTTGTTTATTCCTTTCTTAATCCAGCATCCAGTAGGTCGCTGAATATGGGCATGCATGCCCGAACGCAAAAAAGGCTATCCGAGATACTATACTCTTTGGTTCCCTCCCAAGCAAGGCTAGAATCAAAGGAGGAACTCCCGACTCAAATAGGTGTGATATCGAAGTGGACTCAATTGTCCAATATCTTCTCTTATGCTATTATTTCGTCGAGTACTCAAAACAAGATGAACAAGCGAGAGGAAAGAACCTCACATAAGCAAGCAGTTCGGTCTACTCGCTTTTGGCTTGGGCTTTGCGAATGGAACTT